GAAAAAAAATGTCCATCCTGCTCAGCCTCTGTTATTTGGGGTGCATTTGTCGTAGTAGCTTTCACTGCCCTCCCTAATGGACTGGAGGTGAAATCAAACCCGCCTAGGGGATGAATTAAACTAAGGCCCATTGAGAGCGGGCTTCAGCTTCATTCATCCAAGATAAACCTGCAACAACAAAACCCCCAAAGCACAGGTCAGGAACCGAGACCAAGGACAGCCTGCAAACTCCACCCGGGAACATGCTTCTGAAGCAACAGAAACGCAGTCAGCTGGAAAGACTAACCCCGGACTTTTCAGATGGACTATAGAACAAGGGATTAAAGGCACGACCAAAAGAGTAGATTGTTGAGCTCCCCTGGACACCCTGTTCTCCAAGACCAGCCAGACGCCAGCAGCCTTCCCGTGGAACACAGCGGTGCCACACCTTGCAAAGCAGCAAGGCTGACGGGCCAGCCCAAACCAGGAGGCGACCACGTTTTCACCTTCCCACCCACACATCCTGGCTGCAAGAACTGCGAACGGACACGCTTCAGCAAGGAGAAAGATCAACCCCCAGGAACAAGCAGAGGAGACAAGGAGCCAAACAACACTCCCCACACACAGTGTTAGAAATCTAATCTGTTTTGTTCACTAAACTATTTTTAAGGGTTAAAAAAACCCTATATGACTGTGACGTGGAAGCCAGTGAGGGAATTCAAGGTATTCGGACGCGAGTCGAGGCACGTGGGCCTTGTTACTGCACAGAACCTCTAAGCCAGCGCGGGCAGGGGAGGCCAGGACAAGCACTTACGAACTGCCCCTCGTCGATGCCGATGACAGCCGCACCCAGGGCCTCCTGGGCCGTGTCCCGCAGCAGGCAGGCCGGCAGAGCATCCATGGTGTTCCTGGCAAGGGAAGACAGGGTGAGCAAGGCCGAGGGAGGGGCCCGGGACTAGATATGTGTGTGTGTGGCCCTCGTGTGGCACCCCCGCCTGCAGAGCTCTAGAAAGCTAGCCGTTAGGGGAAAGGCTCTGGGAGAATACAGGACCCTGTTCAGAAGAGCATCTGTTTACACAAGTCATCTCAAAGTCCAAGATGAGCCTGCGAAGCTCTTCTCTCCCGTGCCCTGGGGGGGAGCGGGGCCAGACGGAGCCTTGGAAGCTCTACTCTCTGGTGCCCTGGGATGGGGGGCAGACAAGGCGAACTTTGGTTTTTGTCTTTTCGCAGTACTGGGATGGAATCCAGGGCCTCATGCATGCGAGGCCAGCACTCTACCACCGAGCCAGCCCAGGGGAGACTTCTCCATCAGGGATAATACCCACAATAGCTTTGGGGCCAACAAAATGTTTCCATTTCTTTTAAAATTCTGAATAGTCGGGTGTGGTGTCGCATGCCTATGATCCCAGCCACTTGGGAGGCTGAGACAGGAGGATCCTGAGTTCAAAGCCAGCCTCGGCAATAGCGAGGTGCTAAGCAACTCAGTGAGACCCTGTCTCTAATAAAATACAAAAAAGGGCTGGGGAAGTGGCTCAGAGGTTGAGTATCCTTGAGCTTCACTCCCTCGTACTGCCCTCCCCCCAAAAAGAAAATACAATTCAAATTTTCAAATATGTGAAAATTTTCAAATTTTCACATAGGAGCTACAGGTGTAGTTCAGTGGCAGAGCACATGTCCAGCATATGCAAGACCTCAATCCACAGCACCAAAAAAAAAAAAAAAAAAAAAAAAATTTTTTTCTTTTGGAGGAGAGGGCCCACAAATGCCATGTGGCCTTGGGCAGCCCATAAACACCAAGTCAGGCTAAGAGGTAAGCAGTAGGGCAGTGACCCACAATTCCCTCCCTCTGGCACCTCCAGAAAACTAAGGAGCCCTCCAGGATCACATGGCTCCTCGCTGGCAGAGCCAGGCTGATCCCAGGCTTGAAGCGTGGACCTGCTGTCATCGGGCTGGGAGGATCCCACCCAGCCGTGCTATGAGAGGCATGTGTGGGAATGTTCCAGTGCCATTAGGCACTGTGCACCTCCCATCCCCCTAGCAGGCCATTTCAGGAATGGAAAGTGGTGCCCTGTCCTCTGCCTTTCCAAATAGTTTCTATGTTTTTCTACAATGTTGTTTTCTTCTGTTCCCATTTCTGCCTAATCTTCTGAACTAGAATTCAGAGAGGATAGTTTCCTGAAGGCTCAGCAGTTTGTAGCTGTATTTGTAAAAAATAAAGCACTTCATGACTACTACTTAGTTATTATCTTTCAATAATAACATTCAAGATCTGGGAAGAACATGAAACAACATTTTGTGCATTTCAAATTCCCTCTTCCTGGGCTGGGGTTAGGGTTCAGTGGTAGAGCACTTGCCTAGCATGTGTGAGGCACTGGGTTCGATTCTCAGCACCACACATGAATATGGAAAAAAAGTGAAAATAAATAAATTCCCTCTTCCCTCTCCAAGCACACAAGGCCAGAGGGAGGACAGGAGCAAGCCAGCTATGGCTTCGACCAGGGTGGTATCTCTCCTGTGAGAGTGACTTGTGACCCCTGGCAGGGCTCTGTGATCTGACCTGTCTGGAAGGCACATGGGACAATTGCCCATCACCTCCCCTGCTTTCACTGTCCTTCTGGATGCTCACCCCATCCTGGCAGTGGACACCATGGTCATGAACCACCAGGAAACAAACATGGAGGGGTACCGACCACATCAGCTAGCCTGGCCTGGCCAGAAGGGTTGCTTGAACCCTGGCACTCGCTCTAGGCTGGGCCACCGCTCCCTCCACGCCACCTCCCACCCCAGGCTGGGCCCTGGGCAGCTCTGTTCTTCAGACAGCCAAGAGCAACCTAGGGATGTAGGCCCAGGACGCACATGTGGCTCAGCACAGCTGTCACTGGGTCAGTTCCAGAGGACTGGGGAAAGGGTGCCTCTGGCTCACAATACCAGCCCTGCTCTGCGCCAAGGAACTAAATTTAACCTTGGCCCTGAGGTTGTAGGCGGAAATGTTCACAGGATTTAGGCAGATAAACATAACACCCGGAAGTGTGAAGGCCACAAGATGATAGGGAGCCAGCGAAGGACAGATGACCAAAACACGAAACAAGAATCAATGCACAGGCCAAACAAAACCCGTGTTCAGCCTCTGCACAGGTGCAAGCTCTAGAGCAGGGTTTCCCCATGTTGGGCACCATGGTCATTTGGGGCCTGGTTTTTCTGGGTGGCAGGGGCTGTCCTGGACAACACAGGATGTTTGGCAGCATTCTTGACCTCTACCCATCACAGGCTAGAAGCATCCTATCCCTCTTCAGCAGTGACAACTAAGGATGTCTCTAGACATTGTCAAACGGTCTGGGGGGTGGGGCAGGAATCTCTTCACCACTGCTGAGAACCACTGGCCCCAGGCCTAGGCCACCTTGCCAGGCACCCTGGAGGGCATGCCAATTTGAAAGCCAAGAATCAGAGTTACTAACAATCCCTGCTAAACAAAGCTGCAGTGTGTTCTGCGCCTTGGGATTTTCCAGGACAGGATCAGAGGGAGCAGTGACTGACCGGTCGTGAGTGGAGAAGCTGTTGCTGTAGCGGGTGTCTTTGGCATATTTGATGACAAGGCACTTGTACTGGGCGATCTGGAAGCGGCGGACTCGCCTCATCAGCTCGGTGCTGCAAGAGTAGAAGGTCAGGAGAGGCCAGCCTGCAAGGCAGCTCCCCATCGCCCTCTTGTGATGCACAGCCTGAATCCCACCACTATCCAAGAGCAGAGCGTGGGAAGAAAGGGCAGGGAGTCCACGGAGACACCGACCGGCCCACAGGGGGTGCTGGGCATCACTTGGGAGCCTGGTATCAGTAACACCCGCAGGGGGCTGGAGGCCAGAGTGCTCCATGAGTAGGGTGGCCAGGAATGGTGCCCAGCCAAATGGTCCCAGGAAGGACTGGAGGTGCAAGGTTCTTAGGGATACTGTGGAGACTGTGGGCAGAGGCTGGCTGCATTCCAGGGTCATCTTACCCCAGAGCTATTCAGAGTGAACACAGGGCAACAGGGAAAGCTCTTGCTTCTGGGAAAGAATTCCGACCCCGGGCTTCACCCTCTAGCAAGAAGCTTGGGAATGGTCCCTTGCCTGGGGGAGCAAGGCTCCTAGGCTTCAGGAAATTTCTTTGGCCACATAAGGAAACAGCTATAGAGTGGTGGCGTCCAGACACTCATTGCCTGGCCACAATTGGACGCCCTTGTGAGGACGTAGAGGGGTAGGTGCTAAGCTGTGGCCAGCTGTGGCCGGCTGCAGAAAGGCTTGACCTGGCGGGCGGGCGCAGGCTTCCTCTGGGACCGGATTCCAGGGAGGACAGGAATGCGGGCGGGAAGGTGCAGGCCAAGGCGGTGCAAGCTGCTCTGGAGGGGACCTCCGAGAGGGGCGGCCGGCCGGGGTCGCGGGGGTCCCAGGGAAAAGGTCCGCCCACCCCGAAGGACCATTACCTTTTTCCCGAGAACATGGGCCCGAGAATCACCTAGGAGGGAAGGAGAAGTCACTGTGGCCCGCTCCACGCGGGCACCACCGCCCCGACCCCCGCATCCCCCGGCCCCGCACCTGGATCTGCCCCCGGGTCTTGCTGGGGGAGCCGGGCAGCACGGTGGGTAGGTTGACACAGCTCATGGCGGCTCGGAGACCCCTTCAGCAGGCAGCTGCACTCCCACTACGCCCCGCAGGTTCCCGCCGATTCGGCGCCCGTACCTTTAAACTGCGCACTGGCCAATCAGGAGCCTGCGCCACCAACGCAGCCAATCAGCGCCCGGCGGAGCCGGCGGGAGAGAGAACCTCAGTAAGTAACTCAAGAATTGGGCCCCGGAGGGGCGGGAACAGGGCGGTGGGCGGGGAGGGGCGTGGCCTGGACGGAGCCCCGCCCCGCTGCAGGGGGCACTCGCGGGCCGCGGGTCTTTAGTCTGCGGACTGCGGCATGGACGGGGCGGGCGTGGGTGGCGGCGGCGAGGCGGCCTGGAGGAAGCTGTCTGCGGAGGTAGGCGGGCTGAGGGGCGGCCGGGGCCGCGGGGTGCGCCCGGAGACGGGCTGGGAGTCCGAGGAGGGCCCGGGAAGCCGTCGGCAGGTTCTCGGTAGCCCAGGCCCGGGTCCCGCCGGGTCAGACTCCTAGGCCGGCGGGAGGCGGGAGCGCCGTGTCGGACTTAGATCTGAGTCTGCGCAAGGGTCGGGTCGGGGTCGGGGTCAGTGCCTGTGAACCCCCAGAAGGGGCCGGGTGGCACCGCGGCTGGTGTGAGGTTAGAGGAGACCTGCCCAGCACGGTGAGTGGCTTTCCTGCGTAGTGTGCTCTTATACCAGTGCGGTAACCGGGGCCAGCGACTGTCCTGCCCAGGGAACAGTAGCCAGCACGTGATGAAGCTCAGATGGCGTTTGATGCTAGGTCCTTCTGTGAGGACACTGTCCTCAGGTTTCCCCTGACTGTGGCTTTGAGCCCTTTCTCCAAACCTGGTTCCTTGTTACCTTCTGTATCAAGTCTGGACGTCTTGGCCCTGTGTTCAAGACCCTCTGGCTTCTAGCCCCAGCTCTCCAGCCTCCCCTCTGCTCTAGTCTTCTGGCCAGGCAGCATGTACAAACTGACCTTTGGTTCCCTCCTCACCTCCGTCCCTTTGACTGCGGGTCAGCCTCCCACCAGCATTGCGCTCTGTCGCTCTGTCGGAGGCCGCCCTGAACAGGAGCTTTGCGCATATCTCTTGTTTGTAAAGAGGTACTGGACTGGCATTGCACCCACTGCGGTGCATGTGGGCTTACCTCTGCGGCTACAAGAGGTGCAGCTCTGGGAGTGGGCGTCACCCCATGGGAGTGAGTTACACCCTCCTGTTTGTTGTAATATTACCCCTTGCCCTTTTTTGGATGGAACATTCCATCAAATGGCTCCCCTCAATAAATTGGGCTTTGGAACGTGCTCCAGCGCACTCTCTCTCTCTCTTGCCCCCCTTGTGAGAGCTTACATCTGAAGGGGAGAAGCCGTCTGAATTGCCCGAGAAAAAGGTACTTTCTCTGTATGTCTGTGTGATTATTTTGTGCCAGCCCAAGTTTACCTGAGTGACCCCGGTTCAGTGGCCTGAGCTGGATGGGGAGGTGAGCTCCATTCCAGCAGTAGACACCCTGCTGCCTGGCCTCTGTGGTCTCAGTTGCTGGAGGAGTGGGACCCATGGTGCCATTAACTGGACACCTTTATGGGACTGCATCTCCCCATGAGGCTGTGAGCTGGCTAAAGGCACAGCTGTCCCCAGGGGATCCAGACCATGGATCCTAGGGTGTCTTCATTGTTTGAAGTACTAATGGGGCAGTAGTGGAGGAGTGAGGAGCAGTGGCCAGGTGGAGGTTGGAGGGGCATGAAGGAAGCTGAGGCATCTTCGAGAACCTGGGGGCTTCTCAAGGAGAGGGGAGCCTGAGGAGTGGGAGGGATGGGGGACACATTCAGTTGAGAACAAGGGTCTCATGGAGTCTGTCTGTCCTATAGGAGCTGGAGAACCAGTATGCGCCCAGCAGATGGGTCATCCGAATGGGAGCAGAGGAAGCCCTGAGGACCTATAAGCAGATAGGAATTGAGGGTACCATATTGTCTCTCTACAGCTGCCTTGGGTGGCCGTTAGCATGTGGGCAGTGGTTTGGTATACGGGGGGAAGGGAGGAGCCGAACCCCAGAGTCTCGAGGGGCATTTCCCAAACACCAGGCATTGGATAGGGGGCAGGTGCTCAGACCCTCACTGCAGGGTGGGTGGAGGCAGGAGCAGCCCAGGTGAGGGCAATGGCTCTGTTGAGCATACTCAGCCTCCCTTCCTGCTCAGCCAACTGTCGTAGGCCCTAAAGGTCACATGCCACGGTTGGCACAGGGAGGTGAGGTGAAAAGAGGAAGGCTCCTACCCCACTGTTAGGCCGGTGGTGTTTATTTATAAAAAGCAACAAGCCTTTTTCTTATTGAAAGAAATCAGGGTGTGTGGTGTGTGGGCTGGGGTCGTTGCTCAGCAGCAGAGCGCTTGCCTAGCACATGAGGCCCTGGGTTCGATCCTCAGCACCACATAAAAACAAATAAATAAATAAAATAAAGGTATTGTGTCCAATTACAACTAAAAAATAAATATATAAAAAAAAAAGAAATCAGGGTGTGTCAAAATGAAAAATAGAAAGGGCGGGGATGTGGCTCAGTGATAGCACAGCCCTAGGTTCAATCAATAAATGAGGGTGCGGGAACCTGTACACACGTGAGTGTCCCCGTGGACTCTCTCTGTCCTGTGCCTGCATAGTGCTGGGCCAGGAAGCCAACATGGCGGATTCATGCTGGGCAGGGGCAGCCCAAGAGGAAATGTGGCCCGGAGGCATGGCTGCTCAGTGGGGTAAACCGGACTTTGGCAAACCTGCCTGTTCCTGCAGCTGGCCGCAACCTTTCGCAGGATTCTCTCTGCCTTACAGAGGCAGCTGTCTGGGATCCCAGGGTGGGTGGTTTTTCAGACTGAAATAGCCAGGAGGAGAATCGGGCTTCTGGGGAGTTTGTTCCATACATTCCATCCTCCTCCCTGTCTGTCCTCAGCTTCCTGGGCACATCAGGGTCCTTCACTGTGCCCAGCTCTATGCTGTATGTACCTCAGTTTGCACAGTGAGAGAGAGAGAGAGAGAGTGTGTGTGTGTGTGTGTATGTGTATGAAAGTGTGAGCTTGAGAAGACCTGTTTGCCTGTCTTAATGGCCTGCAGGGATAAAAGAGTTGGCCCTACTGAGAACAGGGTAGGATATCAAAAGCCAGAGCTAAGCAGAGTGCTATGCCAGTGATCAGAAACAGCAGGTCTCTCCACAAGCCCTGGGGGGCTGTACCTTGACAAGCTCTTGCTCCCCTTCCTCTTCCAAGGCTCCAGTAGACCCCGCAGAGCTGTGGGTAGGACTAACCCACTTCACAGATGCAGATCCCGAGCCCATGAACAGGTGTGGCATGTACAGCCGGCTTGTGCATGTGTTGGGTTGCAGCCTGTCTCTATTTCTAAAAAAGAAACAAGATCTTGCTATGTTACTCAAGCTGCTCTTGAACTCCTGGGCTTAAGGATCCCCAACTCAGTATCCTGAGTAGCTAGGACTCCAGATGTGGGCTATGCAGTGCTGGGGATTGAACTCAGGCCTTGCTCGTGTTAGGCAAGCACTCTACCTCTGAGCCCCATCCTTGGCTCCTAAAATTTTGATAGGTTATTTGTTGGTGGTGGGGTTTCCTATTGCTAGGGATTGAACTTGGGGGCACTGTACCACTGAGATATATCTCCAGCCCTTTTTATTTTTTATTTTGAGGCAGGGCCTCACTAAATTGCTGAGGCTAGCCTCAAATTTGGCAATCCTCTTGTCTTCACCTCTCCAATTGCTGTGATTACAGGTGTGTGCTACTGTGCCTGACAAGGGACTTTTTGATTTTTAATAAGTATTTTATTAAGCCCATAATCCTAGTATGCTGAAGGCTAAGACAGGAGGATCACAAGTTCAAGCCCAGCCTGGGCAACTTAATGAGACCTTGTCTCAAAAATTTAAAAAGGGCTGAGGATATTGCTCAGTGGTGGAATACTCCTGGACTCAGTCTCCAGAACCTCTCACACACAAAAATTATTATATTAGAATATTGACCTTGATTACTGAGTTCGGTAGTCTCACCCCCTGCTTAAATTTGGTGCCTGAGACAGGAGGTTGAAGACTTACCCAAGCTGATACAGCCAGTGATGGGGGCCCCTTCCCCAAGCCAAGCTTCCCGTCAGAGTAGGGCACATAGATAAGGGGTGGTGTTGGTCAGGCATGTTAGCTGAGTGTCCAGCCCTAGAAATCAGGTTCCCAGATTTCAGTGCAGTCTGTGGGACTCAGAGGCTGCCTCATTGGAATCAAACTTCCAGGAGATGGAAGGAGGATATAAAGCAGATGATGTTGGGGAAATGGTGAAAAATAAAGCCTTCCGTCCCAGAAAAACCTCTCCACGAACACAGAAGAAAAGAAGGTTTATTATTGAGTAAGGGTTCAACCACACTTCACTAGGACTCCCCGCAGGTGATCCACCAAAGAGACTGCAGATCCAGGATGAAACCCCATCCTCCCAGAGCCAGGTAGTGGCACCTCACTGCCCTGCTTCAGAGCCCTGACAACACCATTTGCCGCACTAGTCCACCCTAAATCCACCTGGAAATTAGAGTGGCCATGATTGTGTTTGCTGGTTGCCTTTATCCAGAAAGGGTGGGGGGAATTCCGTATTTCACAAGGAGGAGGGTTTGCAACTTAGAGCTCAGTGCCTGCAGAGGGTGGCCTCCTCCCGCCCTCCCCTGGAGTCTGAGGGATAGATAGCCTCCCACGAGATGGCTCCCAGGCCCTTGAAGTAATAAAACCAGCAAGACTCATTTAACTTTCAAAACTATTTGTACACATTTCAAAGGGGTAAAGATTTACAATGGTAGGTTTCCTAAAATAAATGCTCCACGAAAAGAGAGGGTTAAACTTTTCCTTTTTTGTACCAGGGAGAATTAACCTTTCTCCTCTGTTTTTCCTTTATATCCACCCCCACTGCCTCGACCTAGACCTCACAGTGGGGTGTGTTCCTTCATCCCTCTCCAAGTCCTGGCCTTCTTGGGGCTGGGCACCTGGAGGACAGAGTCAGCTGCCCTGTGACCTGCTAAGACCCCTCAGGAGCAGGAGGCTGGCAGATGGGGCTTAAGAACTATTTCCTCACCGATGGTTTTTGAATTTGTTTTACCAGGACCTTCAGTAGAAACACGTTTTATGCTAAACATAACGCAGTATGTACATATTGTCCAGGTGCTAACAGACGCTTACAGCACAATTCTTCCTAAAGGCTCTAGATTCAGAGGACACGAGGGTGGTTGCCAGGCATTGGGACAGGAAGGAGTGTGGAGGTCATGTTTAATGGGAACAGTGTCAATTTAAGGAGATGGAGAAGTTCCAGAGAGGGCTGCACGGTGTGGAGGAACTTAATGCCACTGAGCTCTGTCTGCACTTAGAAACGAAGGGCTGTGCTGGGGCTCAGGGGCAGAGCTCACCTAGTGAGTGTGAGGCACTGGGTTCCATCCTTGGCACCACATAAAATTAAATAAATGAAAAATAAAGGTATTGTGTCCATCTACTAAGAATTAAAAAATTGAAGTGGTAAAAATTATGTATATTTCACCACAATTTAAAAATATTTTACATCATTTTAATACATGTGTATAAAAAAGTGTACACAAAATACTTTTTGTGTATGTGTGTGTGTGGTTCTAGAGATTGAACCCAGGGCTGTTGTACCACTGAGCCACAACCCCAGACCTTTTTATTTTTTGATACCAGGGACTGAATCCAGGGGCACTTAACCACTGAGCCACATCCCCAGCCCTTTTTATTTTTTATTTTGAGACAGGGTCTTGTTGAGTTGCCTAGGCAGGCCTCTAATTTACAATCCTGCCTCAGCCTCCCCAGTAGCTGAGGTTACAGGCGTGAATCACCACACCTGGCATACAACACTAATTGATGTAGGATACACTGTTCCAAAAATCTGAAATCCAAAATGCTCCAAAACCTGAAGCTTTTTGAGCACCAACATGATGCCATAAGGGGAAAATTCCACACCCAACCTCATGTGAGGTGTCGCAGTCAAAATGTAGGCACCCTAAAAATACTGTAAAAATTACCTTCAGACTACATGTATAAAATGCATATGAAACATCAGTGAATTTCGTGTTTAGACCGGGGTCTCGTCACTAAGAAATCTCTTAGTTTTGTCTCTAGTCTTGTTTCTCTAGAGGCTTATTTTCCCAAAAGTTTGGGATAGTTTGTGCCTCTTATGGTGCGTAGCAAAGCCCAGTGCCTGAGATCAGCATGCAGTACAGTAGAGGGAGAAAGGTGCCTGTCAGAGCCACAGGTCACGGCCAAGACTGGGGAATCCTCTTTCACGGAGGGACTCTCAGCTGATACTTGCTTGTCAACCCAGCCTGACATAGAAATTGCTGCTACCCACCCAGTGGCATACCCTTGTAAGCCTAGTAACTTTGGAGGCTGAGGCAGGAGGATCACAAGTTCAAGGCCAGCCTGGGCAACTCAGCAAAATCTTGTCTCAAAATAAAGAAGGGGCTGGGATGTAGCTCCATGTAGGGCACAAATGAGATAGAGAAGAAATTGCTGTGATCTGAGCTTTACTGGCAACTCATCTATTTCCTGAGGCAGCCACTAGGAAAGCCCGTGACACCTGCAGGAGCCAGCTGCATGTCCCCTATGGAGATGGTGACGGGGAGAAAATGGACATCTACTTTCCTGACCAGGCATCTGAAGGTGAGCCAGGTGGGCTGGCAGTCCTAAGCAGGCAGCGGTGCCTGGCCCTACCCTGCACTCTCTTTTGTGTTACAGCCTTGCCTTTCTTCGTGTTTTTTCACGGAGGGTACTGGCAGAGTGGAAGGTGAGTCGGGGATTGGACAGTGGAGCCAGGGGAGACTCGGCTCTCTGGGGTCCCAGGATTGCTGCAACAAACGGCTTGCAGCTTGCAGCTTCCAGCAGTGGAAATCCATTCTCAGGCTGCTGGAGGTGGAAGTCGGCATTCAGGGTGCCCCTGGAGTTGGGCGCTCTCTGAGGTTCTAGGGAGGGGAGGAGGATCCTTCCTGGCCTCTTCCCAGTTCTGGTGGCTCCAGGTGTCCCTTGGCTTGTGGCTGTATCACCCCAGCCTCTCTCTGCCTGCAGCTTCACTTCATTGTTGGTATCCTGTCTCAAATCTCCCTCTGCTTGTTGTTAGAAGGATAACAGTCATTGGATTTAAGGCCCTTCCAAATCAGCTCGAGATTTTCAGTTCTGTTTGCAAAGATCCTATTTCCAAATAAGGTCATATCTGCAAGTTTTGGGAGTTAGGATTGGTACATGTCTTTTTAGGAAACACAATTCAACCCACTATGCCCAGTGAGAAAAGCATGTTTGGACAGCTCTCACATCAAGGGAAAATCCAGGGTGACTAACTGTCCCAATTGCTTAGGACAGAAAGATCTCCCAGGATCTGGAGCTTGAAGTGCTTGGGGGAAAAAAAAAGAATGTCCCAGGCCAGCTGGGACAGTGGGTCACCATGAGCTAAGAAGGGTATTTGGAGCACACTGATGTTCCCTAGCGCCCTGTTACAGTTGTCTGCCAGGATCCACGCCCTTCAGGTTGCCTACAGTTCTGACCTTCAGCTCTCAAAAGCAGCTTAGCTACGCGCAGTGGCACAGGCCTGTAATCCCAGCGGCTCTGGAGACTGAGGCAGAAGGATCTCAAGTTCAAGGCCAGCCTTGGCAATTTAGCCCAGCCTGTCTCAAGATAAAATATGAAAGGGCCGAGGGTGTGGCTCAGTGGTAGAGGTGCCCTGAACTCAATCCTCAGCACCAAAAAAAAAGAGAGACAGAAAGAAAGGCAGCTGCGGCAGCCAAGAGGGAACATATTTGTCCCTATTTTTTAGGTGAGGGAACCAGGCTTAGAGGGTGAAGTCCCCAGTTGCACTCTTCCCTCTGCCACGCGATGCTCTGCTTGCATGGGACATCTGGCATGTGGTGTGTCTGGGACATAGGAGAAGCAGCGTGGGGGACGAGTGGCCTCCAAGTGTCACTTTTTGTCTCTTTCTGCAGTAAAGACGAATCTGCCTTCATGGTCAACCCCCTGACAGCACAGGGAGTGGCTGTGGTGATAGTGGCATATGACATTGCCCCCAAAGGTAACAAGGGTGTCCCTGCAGGCTCCAAGGCCAGTGGGCTTTGTGGGAGGAGAGCCCCTGATGGATGCTGACCCAGCCTGTGCTCCCGTTCAGGTACCCTGGACCAGATGGTAGACCAGGTGGCCCGCAGCGTTGCCTTTGTTGAGAAGCGGTATCCAAGCAATAAGTGGGTGTCGCTTTTCTTGTTGGATCACACTGGGTGGGAGGACACTGATCCAGGCCCACTGGGCACAGCCAGGCTGCCTGCCCCTTTGGCCTGTGGAGTGGAAGGCAAATTGGGATCCTGATGCTTTGAGGAAAGTGAATGCAAACTCGGCTGTCTGACACCCCAGGGGAATTTACCTGTGTGGACACTCTGCTGGGGCCCACCTGGCTGCCATGGTCCTCCTGACCAACTGGACCAAGCATGGAGTAACACCCAACCTTAGAGGTATCTGCAGGGACTGCAGCCTAACTGGGCAGCCTTCCCCTTCCCCAGTAGTGCTGAGGGTTTGGGCCAACTGCTCAGAATCCTAATGGCCAGGAGTGGCTTGACTTGGAGGGCTCTGTTCCCCTGGAGCAGGGCGTTCTCAGCCTCCTGTCCACCCCGACCCTGGTCTTGCCCCACCTGAATTCCTCCCTTGCAGGCTTCTTCCTGGTGAGTGGGGTCTATGACCTGCAGCCCCTCGTGTTCACCTCACAGAATGCTCCTCTCCTCATGACCCTGTGAGTTGCTTGCCCTCCTGCTGCCCTGCCAGCCTAGGGCCTGGCTGCCTGTCCTGACCCTGCCCCACCCTGCCCCAGGGAAGATGCTCAGAGGAACAGCCCTCAGCGGCACCTGGAGGTGGCCCGGGCACAGCCTGTGGATCCAGCCTGCCCTGTGCTGGTGGCTGTGGGTCAGCATGACTCCCCCGAATTCCACCGCCAGTCCAGGGAGTTTCAACAGGTACTCAGCACCCAGTCTGTCTGGAGGTCATGGGTCATATGGTTCACTCGTTCTCTCTTCATTTTGCCCAAATGGATCCCAAGACCATGTCAATTACCTGACAAGTGTTTACTGAGTACTGCCATGTGCCAGGCGCCTGTGTGTCCCCCTCCCCTCCTGCAGCCTCACACCTACTCCTCCTCACTCCCCCACCCAGGCACTGTGTCGCGGTGGTTGGAGAGCCTCCTTTGAAGAACTGCGTGATGTGGACCACTTTGAAATCATTGAGAACCTAACCCAGAAGGACGATGCACTCACCCAGGTGGGCCACAGCCCTTCCCACTGCTTGTATCCCCCTCACTGGGCTGTATGGGTACTGTTGAGGGAGTGGGAGGGGCTGCAGGCAGGAGCCACCTTGCCTGGGTCTCTAGCATCCAGAAGGCTAAGGCCTGGGCCCTGATGATGAGAATCATCTGTGTGTCACCTGCCTGTGAAACAGCCCCAGGGCATCTCCTGGTGATCCAGGGGAGCCCTAGCTACTGTGCTACGGTGAGGCTGCAGAGGGGCAGGGAGGAGAAACACTGGCCTGTATGTAGGCAGGAAAGCAAAAGCCAATTCCATAAATATTTATTGCAACTTTAATATAGAGAATGCCACAATTAAAAATCAAAGGACAAACTGAGAAAAATATTTGTCACAAACATGGCAGTTATAGAGAGTTAACTCCCACCCCAGGAGGGCACTATATTAGTCCCACTTTTTTTTTTTCTTTTTTAAGACTTCTGGTTCTGGGGATGGAGCCCAGGGCTTCTGGCATGCTAGGCAAGTGCCGTACCAGTGAGCTGCTCCCCCAGCCTACTAGCTGCAGACAGAACAAACACCCACACAACCTAAGAAAGCCCACCTGTTTCTTTAATGGAATCCTACAGTAGCCACAACAGTCCTGAGGCTTTTGGGTCTTCTCTTCCTGCAACAGATCATTCTGAAAACCATCTTGCAGGAGTTCTGACCACATCTGGCCCCACCCGCAGAGAGCCCCTGGAGCCATGCTGTCTGCCTGCCCCAGCCCATCCCTCCTCACTGCTGATAACACTGGCAAAACCCTCCATGTCCTCCAGCTACCCAACCTGCATTAAACCCCAGGGAAGTCCCCAGGTCAGTGCTGAGATACCCACAGCCACCTTTTGGCCATGTCTGGCCCCTTTACTTACTGACAGGGTATGACAAAAATGACTTGCCTCTGGCTCACTGTTTTGTACACCTTGTGACAGTTGTGAGTATCAAATTGGGATAACCGGGGCCAGGCGTGTGGCTTAGCCGTAGAGCACCTGCCTGGCATGGATGGGCAAGACCCTGGGTCCCACCCCCAGCACTTCACAAACAGAAACCAGAGTCACTAGGAAGGAACCCTCCCACACATATGCCTCCAAGGCCACTGTGAGGAATCTCTCAAACTGCATCCTGCACAGGACACCTGTGACATGTGCCCACCACTGAGCAACCTAGCTCCTACAACAAGCCCTGTGGCCTGGGTGCCTCTTTGAGAACAGTCTATGCAGACCCGTCCTTTCTTACTTTTAAATGCCCCCTCACCTGATTCATCTCCAAATCTTAAGATGTGACCTGAAAAGTAGCCTCGACCAGAACCACTGGTGCCAAGATGGAGTGGTTTCTCTCGCCACTGCTTATTCACTGGACTTTGCTGCAGAATTAAGAAATTTCTTGGGGCTGGGGATATAGCTTGGTTGATAGAGCGCTTGCCTCACATGCACAAGGCCCTGGGTTCAATACCCAGCAACACACACACACACACACACACAAATTTCTAAAGCAAAAACATAACCTACAATGAAAACAGCTTTTGCTTAAAGATGACAATAAAATGTTGCAATTTTAAAAAATGCCTCCCTTCAACCTCTTCAGATGCACCTAGGGTCTACCACAGCATGTGTCTGGGATTGTAATCCCTGTCTGTTCCCAAATAAACTCTGAAAAAATACTTTTCCTGGGCCTCATACCAGACCTGCAATCTCAGCGACTCTGGAGGCTGAGGTAGGATAACCAAAAGTATGAGGCCAGTCTCAGCAATTTTGTGAGATCCAGTCTCAAATTTTAAAAGGGTTGGGGTGTAGCTCAGTGGTAAAGTACCCTGGGTTTAATCCAAACACCACCACAAAAAAAAAAAAAAAAAAAAAAAAGGATGGTCTCTTGTCATTCATTTCAGACCCACAAACTGAGAATGGTTTTACATTTTTAGAAGACTGAAAAAGAAAAATAATGAATATAATGCCATGAGACGTAAAAATCACATAAAGCTTAAATTCCAGCATCCATAATACATTTGTGTTGGGACCCAGCCCTGCCCATTCACAAGGGGCCACCTGGCCCTCAAGTCTCTCCCTGACCCCAGAGAGTCTGCAGAGCCCTGGGTAACAGCTTCCCAAACTGCCTTCTGCTTCAGTCTTCACTCTGCCCCCAGGGGCCTGTGCAAGGGGCTGGCTAGGTCCCCAGCCACCACTGCACCCTGCCCCACTCCTCTCCTCTCCAAATATCTAGCAGTTCAAGAAATGCCATGTTGATGATCTGCAGTTGTGTAGCACCGAGCCCAGCTAGTCTTTCAACTTTTCTTTAAAGTGGAATGAAGTTGGTCATGGTAGTGCATGCCTATAATCCGTTTCGGGAGACTGAGGCAGGAGGATTGCAAGTTGAGAATCTAAAGCAACTTAGAGAAACGGTGTCTCAAAATAAAAGGTAGAAAAAGCTGGGGATGTAGCTGAGTGGTAGAACTCTCCTGGATTTAATCCCCAGTATTTAAATAAAGTGATATCAAAATTGGCTGGGGTGTACCTCAGTGGTAGAGTGTGTGCTTAGCATGTGCAAGGCCCTATGATCAACCCCAGCACCAAAATAATAAACTTTTTAAAAAAGTTATTACCTTCAAAGAAGAGAAGTCAGCAGCCCAGTGTGGGGCTAGAAGGCTGGAAGTAACAAGATGTGAGAGGTATCGTCCTTTGCCCTTACTGGAAAATGACTCTCAGACCCCCTGTTCCTATCAGATGAGACAGTGATTTCTCTTTACAGCAGATTTTTAAAAAAAATATTTAGTTTTTAGTTATAGGTGGACACAATATCTTTATTTTATTTTTATGTGGTGCTGAGGATTGAACCCAGTGCCTCAACGCATGCTAGGCGAGTGCTGTACCTCTGAACCACAACCCCAGACCCCTTTACAGCACATTTTTTTTAAAGTAATGGCAGGATTTACCACTGCTATGAGTAGGGAAGGGGAGCTGGCCCTGTGGATGGGCCCCCATTTTGCCCTGGTCTTTCCCTAACTCTCCACTTAACTTATCAGAGCACTGGCCCAGCCCCCATCCCAGGGTTCCACAAGGTGGTCCTCCTGAAAATCCAGGCCTCAGCAGGCAGGGGTGTCTGCTGGTACTCAGGCCTCCACACATCCGGAGTTTTGTTGCAGAGTGGCCCTACAACTCTCCAAATCTGCTGCCAAGAGCTGGTCTGGGGTGACATCTGCACCCTTTCCGCTGCACCCTTCCAGTACCACACTTCCCAGAGGAGTCAAGACTTCAACACAAAAGCCCAAACCAGAAGAAACCTCAGGGAGTATCTTATAAAATCATCTTGGAGTGGAGCCTTTCCCAGCATGACAATATCAACCAACAGCAAAACAAACTAGTTAGAGATAGAAAACACATCAGACTGAAAGTGATTAATAGGAATGCCAACATTTTACATTTTTGTGGGGGAAAAACAAACATACTGCCAAGTCAAAAGACAAACATGAAATTTTGTTTGAAATTTGATAAACATGAAAACTGGGACTCAAATGCAGGGATGGGGATGGCCGTGACAGAACAAGTGAAGCCCAGTCCCTTACCAGGAATCTGGCAAAGGACAGGCAGGACCTCAGAGTCCCAGAGAGGAAGTGGAGAAGAGGCCATCAGCCTCCCTCCTAGAGATACAAATCAAAAGAAGCACAAGCTGTCTGTGCTCTCAGAGGGCAAAGATCGGGATGCTGGAGGCTATGCCGAGCTGTCTCAGCACCTCCAAGTGGCCTTGAGGACACCTGTAATCCCAGTGGCTGGGGAGGCTGACAGACAGGAAGATGGCAAGTTCAAAGCCAGCCTTAGCAAAGCAAGGTGCAAAGCAACTCGGTGAGACCCTGTCTCTAAGTAAAATACAAAACAGTGCTGGGGATGTGGCTCAGTGGGCAAGTACCCCTGAGTTCAATCCCCAGTAAAAGTGGTCTTGACCTTTTCACATTAACCAGGGAGGTCACTGACCCTGTGAACCCAGCAACCAATAGAAACCCAACAGAAACAACACAGCCTCACCCTTTCCTCCCAGCCATCTGCATCTCTTAATGTTTTTTCTTCCAATTCTGTTTCACAAGATTGCTCACAATTTTCTTGTGACTTAAGCTGAAAGATAAATCCAACCTATCAGTTTCTTATCTAATTCGTGATTGTTACTGGTAGAAATGGATAAAAAAAAAATCTTTGCTAACAAACTGCACATGGTAAATATTTTTACTAAAACTGGTATAAACCTCAAAAGACTTTTTAGCTGCTAAATTTTTATGCTAAAAAAGTTTTGAGAGGCTGGGGTTGTGGCTTAGTGGGAGAGTGTTTGCCTTGCACATTTGAGGCACTGGGTTCGATCCTCGGCACCACATAAAAATATGTAAACAAAACAAAGATATATAAAGAAATGAACATTGGGCTTTAAAAAAAAAAAAAAGTTTTGAGCTGGACACAATGGCTTACACCACATGGGTGTAATCCCAGCAGCTCCAGAAGCTGAGGCAGGAGGATCATTAGTTCAAAGCCAGCCTCAGCAACTCAGTGAGACCCTGTCTCTAAATATTTTTAAAAAGGGGTGGGGATGTGGCTCGGTAGTTAAGTGCCCCTGGGTTCAATCCCAGTACCAGGAAAAAAAAAAAAAAATCTTTACTTGAGCTAGGTAGAAATAATGTAGAAAGTTGGAAATCGCAGAAGATATTACTGGTAAAAATTGGTATAACCAAAACCTGGTGATTTAGATACTTGTTATAAAGTCTTAGGGAAAGTGGGGAGTTGTCTAATGGATAGTTTCAGTGGGGAGATTTAAAATATATATTTTAGTTGTAGGTGGACACACAATATCTTTATTTCATTGTTTTACACAGTGCTGAGGATCAAACCCAGTGCCACACGCATGCTAGGCGAGCATTCTACCACTGAGCCACAACCCCAGCCCCCTTTTTAATTTTTTAAAAATATTTTTTAGTTTTAGGTGGACACAATATCTTTATTTTATTTTTATGTGGTGTTGAGAATTGAACTCGGTGCCTCACGCATGCTAGGCGAGCGCGTTACCACTTGAGCCACATCCCCAGGCCCCCCTATTTAATTCTTTTTTTTTTTTTAAAGAAAGAGAGAGATAATTTTTTTTTAATATTTATTTTTCAGTTTTCGGTGTACACAACATCTTTATTTTTATGTGGTGCTGAGAATCAACCCAGAGCTCTGCACATGCCAGGCGAGCGTGTTACTGCTTGAGCCACATCTCCAGCCCCTTAAATTCTTATTTTAAGACAGGGTCTTGCTGAGTTGTTGAATCTGGCTTTGAGTTTGCAAACATCCTGTCTCAGTCTCTGAGTGGCTGGGATTACAAATATAACCACCGCAGCAGTAACAATACAGTATTTTTGAAATCTTAGGGAAAGGATCTCAGCATCTGAAGTTTTCAGTAAAATGAAAATTTACATTGAAAAAAGGTTGGAACTTGTTTATGCTAAATAGAAAACGAATCACAAAAACACAATGGCCTGATGGAGAAGACACCAAAAGATAATGTTTCCTTCCTTTTTTTGGTGGTACTGGGGATTAAGCACAGGGCCTTTTGCCTGCTAGGCAAGTGCTCTCCCACTGAGCAGCTCTTCTTTTTTCTCTGAGATGGAGTCATGCTGTTGCCCAGTGTTATAGTTTGCATCTGAAATGTCTTCCAAAGTCTCATGTGTTGCAATGCAGCAATGTCCAGAGGTCAAACTGATTAGATCAAGAGGCCTTTGATCTCACTAATGGGCTAAGCCACTGAGGCATCATAACTGAATGGACTGCAAGGTGATGGAAACTTGAGAGGTGGACCCTCACTGCAGAAAGGAGGTCCCCAGCCCAAGAAGTAAGCATCCTTGCTCTGCCACACCCTTCCACCATGATGTTCTGCTTGGTCACAGGCCCAGAAACAATGGAAGTGGCTGATAATGGACTGAAACCATAAGCCAAAAAAAACCCCCCCAAACTTTCCTTCATTGAGTTTTCCTCAAATATTCTGTCACAACAACAAAAAGCTGATGAACACACAGGCTGGCCTTGACCTCCTGGGCTCAAGTAAGCCTCCTCTCAGCCTCCCGAGCAGCTGGGACTATAGGTGCATGCCATCACAGCTGGCTGCCAGAGAATAGTTTTCAATGAATATCATCAATATTGGTGGAACTCAGATCCTTGGGGTATCCTAGGTAGGTTCCATACCCACAGATCAAACCATGTTCCCCCAATGACTGAGATGTTTGTGGTAGGGTAGGTTGGCTATGTACACATGTTCTCTGGGGGATCTCACTAGTAGGCACATGTCCTACAGACAGAGCTTCACAGGAGCATGTGCCTGTTGGTTACTGTACAGTTCACAGTGGCAAAAAGAATTGAAGCTACCCAGTGGGAAAGTAGGAAAGATCAGGGTATACCATACAGAATACCATGTAGATACAACGGAAGTGTAAGGTCTCTGCGTGATATGCTGCCAGTTGAGAAGGAAGGGCATCAAACAGGGTGTGGGGATGGTCCCACTTGTCTGCTTTTTAAAAAGGGTTTATAGACACACATGCACCTGGAAGGGCATTTAAGAAATTGCTAAAAAGCTTCCCTCTGAAGAGTACAGCTATGGGAAGACTTCACTGGACCATTTTTTTTTGCTTTTACAATGCGGATGTGTAAACTTTGT